CTCCCTAACTTACTTACCCAATCTTTTACTTAGTCAGTCACTTGCTTACATAATCAGTTACTTACTTCGCTGCTTAATTAATCAATAACTGGCGCACTTGTTCCCTCATTCATTTTCTTACTTTAATTCAGCTACTTACTTAACTTACCCACTTACGTATTCAGTTAACCGCTGTAACCGAGACTATACAAGAGAAATATTTAAACAAACACTCTTCCTCTCCAAAACATTGTTTACAACATTTTTCTTGCGACTGTACTGTAAATACAGTTAGGTCGTCAAAGCAGGCATTAGAATCGTTTTGATCAGCGCGAAATTATAACGAATTGTGAAGTATGACATCGCTGAGGTTTCGGCCATAACCATCCTGCTGACCAGAAGGAACAGTGAATGGGAGAAATATTGACCTGAGCGGGGACGGTATATCGTCGTCAATGTTTGATACCTCAAAAAACAGCATTTATTCATGTTTTACTCAAGCATACCTCTTACTGCATTCAGCGCTGAGTACATGTAAAATACAGCGACAAATAGAATACAGTATCATCTCTGAGAATACTGAATGTCAGAAGTCATGGTAATATGTCACAGTTATAAACAATCACGCTGCTCAAATGAGGACATACATGGCAGAGTGAGCATGGACTTAAGACATGAATGTTCTAAGCAATTGCGATGCATCTATCTTCAGTACCGGCAATCAGGTGGGAAGCAGCAAAGTAATCAGCCGCCTTCTTCAATCTGTTGCGCATGAAAATTTCTGACTTGAATGATCAAACTTCGTGTATCCGCTATAAATGGAGGTCTTGCCAGACATTATTCTGGAAGTGTCAGACGTAACCAGGTATGCTGGCCAAATGGCTAGGGATGGTGGGGACAGGAGGAACATAAGTATAAGAATACGCGCTTGAGTCCTCCGGATTAATACAATGCCACATTCGAACCATCTGCTATACTTCATCCATTTGGCGCACAACATCAGATTAGTCTACTGTCGATGAAAGCTTCCGCCAAGACTCATGACTCACACCTAAAAAGTTTCAGTGATAACTCCTAATGCTGGGCATCATAGACTGACGAGCGGAAGGGGTGACAATGTTTGTCAGTGAGAGTAGGAAAGCCTACAGTCGAGTTCCGAGCGTTACACCACATGGTTTTCCAAAAAAAAACTGTTGTAGTTTTAATGAGAATCGTTGAACCAGTCATTTCGTAAATGTCGATATCACGAATTTTAAGCAGCCCGTAGTCTTAGGAAACGGCTAAACAGGATAATGACAACATTACAACGAACGCAGTTCCTCCAACTACTGTGACACAAAGTCACTGCAAAAGTTTAAACGATTATCTTAGAAGTTTGTGCTAAAGTTCACCGTGCCAGTCAGGTGGGTTAACGAAAAACGAAACCTCGCTCTTACCTCTATTCTTATCACAGTTTCTTTCATGACCACACTCATTAGCGCTTAAACAGGAATTGAAACAAATTAAAGGGTTATGCTTGAACAGAAGCCAACAATAATGAGTACAAAAGTTTGTACTCTCCCACTCCAGTTGCTTCTAGAAGTTAAAACGTACGATTGCCGATGAAAATCGAAGCTATCACAGATCATCTAGGTTATCATTAAGTCAATATGTGTGCCCATGAACTATGGTAGATTTAGTTGGTGCTCGAACTCGAACGTGCCCTTCTGATCATCGCAATTTACGATGCGCTTGTGCATTCGATGCACTGCAGCTGCTCACGTACAAAGTATAAATAAAAGGGCATCTTCGTGCATAATATTTATATTGAGTGAACACCATGGAGCGGCAGTCCGGTCAAATGGTCCCCCTACGGGACTAGAAGAAAAGAAACCGCCCGCCTACGTCGAGTAAATCCGGTTTCAGACATGGAAATGATAGAAAACTGCTAATGCCATGGATGAGGCATAAAACCATGTAAAAGTTACAGAACAGGATACCAAAATTTTGGTCAGCATTGTTACTGTATAAAGACAAGGCATAACTACTTATGACACGCAGTTTGAATTGAGTATAAGAAATGGGATTTAACTACATGTATCCTTCACATCATTCCGTCCAAACTGTTCCTACGGTTGCGAAAATTCGTAACCTAAAACGAAATTGCCATGAATTGCGATGTTAGAAATGCAGCGTGGTTCCCAAAGCCCAAAAATCATCCGATGTTTTGCCATAAATATCATAACAGTAATATACTATTTTTTGATGATAGCTCTTACCGCTGTAACCGGTTATGCTGCACATCAGTTACTGTAGTTACAGTACAAACAAGGATTTAGGTAAACAACGGATAAATGATTTTCTTTATTAAACCTCAAGTGCTGTACGTACAGTGATCACAAAGGTATCGGCGTAATTGTTTTCGAGGAAATGATCCTTCTACAAACTGAGAATACAACAGACATCACAAATCGCAGAGGTTCTGATCATACACAAACGGCTCGAGGTGATGATTTCAGCAAAAAAGGACAATTCGTATGAGTGACATATGTGAAGGTTAATCTTAAGTATGCATAATCAATTAAATGAAAAATAGGTACCAGTTTATACAGTACGCTCAGGGAAAATTCTAACTCGATGGATAGGTGTACATCTTACTGGAAGAAATCGAGTCAGTGTAGTGCAATGTATAAACAATAGCCATGGAGCAAATCACGTCATTATAGCGTTACACCCATTCTAAAGTTAAAACTTTGTTAATTTGAGAACTCGACATCTCCAGTTTTCCTTGATTAGGGAATCTAAGAAATATTTTATACAGGAGGTTTGCTAACAGAACAGTTATATACACAAAGGTTCATCGAAAAAAAATTTTCATCTTAAATAACAACCACGAGGCATTTTATCAGGGCAGACTGTGGGACACAGAATGAACGTATCTGTCGATACATCTCCATCGTATCTATAATCAATATATGGGACAATGTTCTGTCCACAAGACTTCATAATTCAGGCATTCACACTCAATCAGTATGAATTTCAGAATATATTGCTTCATGTGACTTGAAGTCATTTTACAGCGTACCACAAAAGCATGGATACCCCCCCCCCGATTAACTTTTTACTATGCTTTGTGCCCCATCCTGGCCAACTAATTTCAGTATTGGGAAGTTCGAATGTGTTTTGGAACGACCGAAAGGATGTTAGCGCAGGACAGTTCAGCGGAGTCCAATTTCTAATTCTTGATGCCAAATGGTTGTCCTCCGTATAGGCCACGTTACCGGTCCATATTCTCTTGACAGCGTACAGGTCATCGAATCCCAGAGGAAGAACTTGCACATTCTTAGCACAACCTTCACTCTGTATTCCTCGGCTTTAAGAATAAATTAGAATTCAGCGCCGTAAACGCCGTATGGTTGGTAGTAAGACTGAATCGAAACTTGTTTCTTCCCCCAAGTCGGCAGCTTACGGTCAAATAACGATATTGTAAATATGGTTAAACCAAGCTCATGCCATCTTCCTTCATTTGCTGATTTCAGAAGTTAACGCTTCACCATGTTAGCTAGTTTAAAAATAACTTTAATTTCGCAGCTAACGGCTTTAGTCAGATAGTAGGTCCATGGTGTGCAGCACGAGAGAGGACGAACCTAGCTTTCGAGAGAGCCAGCTTTCTTCTCAGAGAACGGAATAAGATGCCGACGAAACATACGTAATAGTTCAGCAACGTAGTAAACATGGCTGAATAAGTGATCGTCCAGATAGCTCTCAATGTGAAAACAGAAAGACTCCCTTCCAGAGTGGAGTTCAGCGAGGAAGTTGGATGAATTACGTCAGATTAAGGGGTTACCTGGGAGTTTGATGATCGGCTCCGTGGTTACTATGAAGACGGCGACGAAGTATCCGTACGGACAATACGAAATGACCACTCGCCTCATGCCATGTGTTCATTGCTGTGCTACCGTAATCGCTGGGTCGAAGGAGAAGGTAAACAATCGACTATGATGGCGCTCGTCAATCAGCCCTCGGCAGGTCCCTGTCTGTCATAAGCACGATTGAACGACGCGCAGTCCGCCTGTCGATCAACGTACAGCGTTGAAGGGGAAGAACAGCGGTATCCATTGCCTGCAGCAGTGTT